GAAAACAAAACCTGCCCAAAACACCCCTTCCTCCAAACACCAGCGCCCCGTTTACATGGAGTTTTAGCGGAAAAAATCAGTGCTAACAGGCCTGTGCTATTTGGAAAGAACTGGTGCACAAAACGAAATTTTAGTGTGTTTCTGGCTAAAATCTGGGCTCATATGGCCCAGGCTCGCGTTTTCTCCTTCTCATTTAGGTTAACTGATACAGTCTTTCACGGAACTTCCTATCTTGGCTTCCCTGTCTCAAATTTCCTCCATTACAAGCTATTAATCGCCCAATGCCGGGGCGCAAAAATTAATTAAATGTTTTTCCGCGGGCATGGGAAGGTTGAGTTTATAATTTCTGGGTCGCACGTGAGCAGGGGACATACCCATAAAATTTCAGCTCCCCAGCTTCCGTGGTTCCCGATATAGCTTTCCCCGCCAAAAATTTCACGGGGCCGTACGTGTTACCTACGGGTACGGGGAGGTTGAATTTAAATTTGCGAGGTCGCATATAAGTCGGGAATATTACCATAAAATTTCAGCCACCTAGCTTTTGTGGTTCCCGAGTTGAAAGTGTGCGGCAAATTTCAGACACACATAAACACAGATAACCTCGAGACAACGTGTATTTTATGCTGCTGTTACACAGCGCAAAACGCATAAAAACACCGGACTGAACTTTTTCTAAAATAAATAGCGATGCGCACCAGGGTAGCCGGTGCGATCATGCGTTTTGCGCAGTTCCGTCCAATGAACGTTTGCTCATAAAATATAACTGCTTTACACCTTCGTATGTGAAAAACATTAGACTATTCCCACTAAAATTTTCACGTGCCGGTGCATAAAAGCTGAATTTGAAACCTTGGGCGGGGGACATCTTCCCAAATTTCAACCTCCTAGTTTTCCGACTTTCGCATCAAAACTCTCACGTGGTTGTACGTAAGACCTCGGCATATCTGGGAGCCAAATTTGGGTTGTGAGATATGCACAGGCAGAAAACATCCTCCTAAAATTCCAGCCTTACAGCTGTTTTGATTCCCAAGACAATAATTTTCTCCACCAAAACTTTCGCGGTGCCGCACACCAGACCCAAGTGTACATGGGAACTGAATTTAATTCTGCAAGGTCGCATTCTTCCAAAACTTTCGGCTATCCTTTATGGCTTCCGAAATAGTAGTTTTTCCCGCCGAGGTATAATTGAGACCCAAGCTTGACTGGAAATTGATTTTAAATTTATAGGGATTCCTAGCAGAATTCAGGGGAGGGGCAAGGGAGCAAAGGTCTTCTGGCCTCCCAGCGGCACAGGCACCAGTGCTGCAAAAGCCCGGATCTGTTCATAAATAAGACTGAACTAACTCTAAATAGCAGTGTTACAACTCTACTCCTAGTTCTTGCGGGTGGGTGAAGCTTCCCCTTATCCCACCTCCTGTCGTCCCCTGTCAGAGGCCCACTCTCTCTCCATCACTCGCCCCCCTTCCCTACCTGGGACCCTGCTCATCCCCACCCTCCCCAGGAATCCGACCTAGACCCGCTTATGGAGCAGTTGCACCTGAGAAAGAAACATTCTTGTTCAATTTCAGCTTCCTGGTTCTTACAGTCCCCGAGATAATTTTCCCGCCAAAACTTTCACGAGGCTGTACGCGTCACCCAAGCGCCCGGGAGAACTGGATTTAAATTTTCTGGGTCGCACGCAGGCAGGGGAAGACCAATAAAACTTCATCTCCCTAGTTCCATGGTTCTCGAGATAATTTTTCCCGCCAAAAATTTCACGGGGCGCGAGTGTTACCCATAGACACAAGAAGATTGGATTTAAGTTCCCTGGGTCGCACATTGGGCAGAGGAAATACACACAAAATTTCAGTTTCACGGCTTTCGTGGCTCCCGAGACGATTTTACGCGCCAAAACTTTTGTGGGGCCGTACGTGTTACCCGCGAGTACTGGAAGACTGAATTTAAATTTGCGGGGAAACACATGGGTGGGAAACATTCCTCTGCTCCCTGGATTTTGCGGTTCCCAAGTTGAAAGTTGCGGGCACACACACACACACACACACACACACACACAGACAACTCCGTGACAATATGCGTTTTGCGCTGCTGTTACACAGCGCAAAACGCATAAAAAGTACCTGTGTCAGCTCCAATTCCCTCGCTTTTCTCTGTTCACTTATCCGCCCAATAAGCACATCGACATTATGCTCATCATCAAACACTGCGTCAAAAATCGCTTCGAAGTTGGTAATGGCGCAATTTACATCTCCTTCTTCCCAATTCTTCGACGAAATACCCTCCCTTGCTTCTTTCAAAAAGCTTTTTAACACATGCGCAAACTTCTGCTCCACCACACGAGAGCGTTGGGCCGATTGAACTGCTTCTAACACATGTTTAATTTCATTCTCCAGCCGAGAAAACCCTTCAGCAATGTGTCGATTCTGTTCTGAACGGTCATCTGGCGACCTGTCACAAACTTGCTGATTTCTCGCTTCATGCATCCACCAGTTTATGATTTCTGCTGCCTGCTTATCTCTCTCCGATAAAATAGAAAGCTGCGTTCTCAAATCGGCAATCTAAAACTGCATTTTTTAATGCAGCGAATCCAATCTACATCTCCAGTGCTACTCAAAATGGAAATGA